GAAAACATGCATGGCACGGAAGGTTCCCCTGCTTAAACCAGCACACGTCAAGGCCCGTCTTAAGTTTGCCAGTGACCATTTGGATGATCCAGAGGAGTCATGTGGTCAGATGAGACCAAAATAGAACTTTTTGGTCATAATTCCACTAACCGTGTTTGGAGGAAGAAGAATGACGAGTACCATCCCAAGAACACCATCCCTACTGTGAAGCACGGCGGTAGTAGCATCATGTTTTGGGGGTGTTTTGGGACAGGGCGACTGCACTGTATTAAGGAGAGGATGACCGGGGCCATGATTTTGGGGAACAACCTCCTTCCCCCAGTTAGAGCATTGAAGATGGGTTGAGGCTGGGTCTTCCAGCATGACAATGACCCGAAGCACACAGCCAGGATAACCAAGGAGTACACAACTGCGTCTACCTTTTAATCTGAAGGTCTGTGGTTCAAGTCCCTGTTCAAGCGATTCTATATTACCAAGAACAAGACTTCAAAAGCAAAAGAGCCTGGGTAGCTCAGTCGGTAGAGCATCAGACTTTTAATCTGAGGGTCCAGGGTTCAAGTCCCTGTTCAGGCGATTCTATATTTATAACAAGTGAACAAGAACAGTTGGAAATATTCACTGGATGTAGGATAATAACAAACCATGGAGCTAGGAATGAAGTCTTCTAGCATGACAATATACTTCTCAATTGCTTCGTAAATCATTACGAACATTGATAAAGCCAGACTTTTCTGATACATGAACAGACTACTGCTACTTTTCAAAGAAACCCAGGTCACCATGATTCACAACCAAAGATTGCGATGGCCGGGAATCGAACCCGGGTCAACTGCTTGGAAGGCAGCTATGCTAGCCACTATACCACCATCGCGAGTTGAACAGCTTGTCACACAGTGGCATCACGTTCCATTCACGCTGACACCACAGTCTCCTCAAAGGGCCTCAAAGGCTGCTATGCTATCCACTATGCCACCATCACAAGGTGGAGGTGACATCACACAGTGACATCACAGTGTCCTCTCATAGTGGTATCGCAAGTCAGTGAAATGTTATGGTGACTCCCTACAGACAAAAGCATATCAAAATCACAGATAGCTAGCAGTAGTAAGACAGAGAATGACTGAGTGCATATAAGCCACTACTGTTGATCCCAAAAGCTAGGAATTCCCATACCGGGAGTTGAACCCGGGCCGCCTGGGTGAGAACCAGGAATCCTAACCGCTAGACCATATGGGAAATTCTGGCTTTGACCTATTGGTCTCTTTACTAACAAAGTACAGAGACGATGCGTACTATGTTGAGGGGAACTGTGGCGCTCATCTCTGTTTCGACTGTCCCAAGCAAATAATTAGAGAACACCGTTTGGGTTTTGTCACTAGTTGCTTTCATATGTTTAGCAGCAAATCCTATGAAAAAGTCAACAAGCAAAGCATATAGCCAGTATCACGGTAACCTCCCAGAAACCACGTGAAATGACCTCACAAAGTAACCTCACACGGTAATGTCACACCGAGCTGTCTTGCACGCGGTAGTGTGGCCGAGTGGTCTAAGGCGCTGGATTAAGGCTCCAGTCTCTTCGGGGGCGTGGGTTCAAATCCCACCACTGCCAGCTGGCTCTCTGATACCAAACCAAGGTAGGCTTTGCAGCATTCTGCCCTGATGTTGGCTTTTCAGCAGCCGCCCTGGATAAGCTCCATCGAGACACTGTCTCAAACATTGGAATTGACTCTCCCTGTCGACCTGTGTTAGAATACACTGTCTTTATGCATAATAGAAAGCTTTTCGTTGTTGGCAGGATTCGAACCTGCGCGGGGAAACCCCAATGGATTTCTAGTCCATCGCCTTAACCACTCGGCCACAACAACGCAGGAAATGATCACAGTCAAAAAAAAAAAAAAAAAAACAACAACAAAAAAACAAAACAACAAAACCCCTTAGAAACAATATGTCAATGTGGCTTGTGCCACATTCCCCAATTTAAGATGGATATGCCGTTGCTGGCAGGATTCGAACCTGCACGGGCGGACCCCAAAGGATTTCAATACTTATTTTCCTCACTGTGTAAGAAGGGAACAAGAGCAGTTGGAAAAAAAATCACTGGATGTAGGTCATAACAAACCATAGAACTAGGAATGAAGTCTTCTAGCATGACAAGAAACGTCTCACTTGTTTCTTAAATGATTACAAAACATGAAACATTCATAAAGCCAAACTTTTATGATACAAGAACAGACCACAGCTACTTTTCAAAGTAACCCAAATTGTATTTATAAGTTGAATGGTTGCAAAGCAAGTGGCCATAAACCAGACCTAAATAATGAGTGGATAAAAGCAAACTTCAGGCATGTTAGCATGGTTAGCTCAGACGGTAGAACGCCCGACTTTAAGCAACAAAATTGGGTATCAGTGATTGCTTTGAGACTTTATTCAAAGAACCATGCCTTACACAATGATTTTAGAAACCCATGCCGAAATAGCTCAGTTGGGAGAGCGTTAGACTGAAGATCTAAAGGACCCTGGTTCAATCCCGGGTTTCGGCAGACATGGTGTTTGCTGTCCTTGGGCTGCATCTTGCCGGTAAGATTTACACAACTGCGGTGCCCTTTTAATCTGAAGGTCCATGGTACAAGTCCCTGTTCAGGCGATTCTAGATTTACACAAACAAGACTATGAAAGAAAGAGAGCCTGGGTAGCTCAGTCGGTAGAACATCAGACTTTTAACCTGGGAGTCCAGGGTTGAAGTCCCTGTTCAACTTACTCTATATTTACAGTGAGTAAAATAAGTATTTGAACACCCTGCTATTTTGCAAGTTCTTCCACTTAGAAATCATGAAGGGGTCTGAAATTTTCATCGTAAGTGCATGTCCACTGTGAGAAACATAATCTAAAAAGAACAATCCAGAAATCACATTGTATGCTTTTTTTTTAACTATTTATTTGTATGATGCAGCTGCAAATAAGTATTTAAACACCTGTCTATCAGCTAGAATTCTGACCCTCAAAGACCTATTAGTCTGCCTTTAAAAAGTCCATCTCCACTCCATTTGTTATCCTAAACCAGATGCTCCTGCTTGAGGTCGATAGCTGCAAAAAGACACCTGTCCACCCCATACAATCAGTAAGACTCCAACTACTAACATGGCCAAGACCAAAGAGCTGTCCAAAGACACCAGAGACAAAATTGTACACCTCCACAAGGCTGGAAAGGGCTACGGGGAAATTGCCAAGCAGCTTGGTGAAAAAAGGTCCACTGTTGGAGCAATCATTAGAAAATGGAAGAAGCTAAACATGACTGCCAATCTCCCTCGGACTGGGGCTCCATGCAAGATCTCACCTCGTGGGGTCTCAGTGATCCTAAGGAAGGTGAGGAATCAACCCAGAACTACACGGGAGGAGCTGGTCAATGACCTGAAAAGAGCTGGGACCACCGTTTCCAAGGTTACTGTTGGTAATACACTAAGACGTCATGGTTTGAAAACATGCATGGCACGGAAGGTTCCCCTGCTTAAACCAGCACACGTCAAGGCCCGTCTTAAGTTTGCCAGTGACCATTTGGATGATCCAGAGGAGTCATGTGGTCCGATGAGACCAAAATAGAACTTTTTGGTCATAATTCCACTAACCGTGTTTGGAGGAAGAAGAATGACGAGTACCATCCCAAGAACACCATCCCTACTGTGAAGCACGGCGGTAGTAGCATCATGTTTTGGGGTGTTTTGGGACAGGGCGACTGCACTGTATTAAGGAGAGGATGACCGGGGCCATGATTTTGGGGAACAACCTCCTTCCCCAGTTAGAGAGCATTGAAGATGGGTTGAGGCTGGGTCTTCCAGCATGACAATGACTCGAAGCACACAGCCAGGATAACCAAGGAGTACACAACTGCGTCTACCTTTTAATCTGAAGGTCTGTGGTTCAAGTCCCTGTTCAAGCGATTCTATATTACCAAGAACAAGACTTCAAAAGCAAAAGAGCCTGGGTAGCTCAGTCGGTAGAGCATCAGACTTTTAATCTGAGGGTCCAGGGTTCAAGTCCCTGTTCAGGCGATTCTATATTTATAACAAGTGAACAAGAACAGTTGGAAATATTCACTGGATGTAGATAATAACAAACCATGGAGCTAGGAATGAAGTCTTCTAGCATGACAATATACTTCTCAATTGCTTCGTAAATCATTACGAACATTGATAAAGCCAGACTTTTCTGATACATGAACAGACTACTGCTACTTTTTCAAAGAAACCCAGGTCACCATGATTCACAACCAAAGATTGCGATGGCCGGGAATCGAACCCGGGTCAACTGCTTGGAAGGCAGCTATGCTAGCCACTATACCACCATCGCGAGTTGAACAGCTTGTCACACAGTGGCATCACGTTCCATTCACGCTGACACCACAGTCTCCTCAAAGGGCCTCAAAGGCTGCTATGCTATCCACTATGCCACCATCACAAGGTGGAGGTGACATCACACAGTGACATCACAGTGTCCTCTCATAGTGGTATCGCAAGTCAGTGAAATGTTATGGTGACTCCCTACAGACAAAAGCATATCAAAATCACAGATAGCTAGCAGTAGTAAGACAGAGAATGACTGAGTGCATATAAGCCACTACTGTTGATCCCAAAAGCTAGGAATTCCCATACCGGGAGTTGAACCCGGGCCGCCTGGGTGAGAACCAGGAATCCTAACCGCTAGACCATATGGGAAATTCTGGCTTTGACCTATTGGTCTCTTTACTAACAAAGTACAGAGACGATGCGTACTATGTTGAGGGGAACTGTGGCGCTCATCTCTGTTTCGACTGTCCCAAGCAAATAATTAGAGAACACCGTTTGGGTTTTGTCACTAGTTGCTTTCATATGTTTAGCAGCAAATCCTATGAAAAAGTCAACAAGCAAAGCATATAGCCAGTATCACGGTAACCTCCCAGAAACCACGTGAAATGACCTCACAAAGTAACCTCACACGGTAATGTCACACCGAGCTGTCTTGCACGCGGTAGTGTGGCCGAGAGTGGTCTAAGGCGCTGGATTAAGGCTCCAGTCTCTTCGGGGGCGTGGCGTTCAAATCCCACCACTGCCAGCTGGCTCTCTGATACCAAACCAAGGTAGGCTTTGCAGCATTCTGCCCTGATGTTTGGCTTTTCAGCAGCCGCCCTGGATAAGCTCCATCGAGACACTGTCTCAAACATTGGAATTGACTCTCCCTGTCGACCTGTGTTAGAATACACTGTCTTTATGCATAATAGAAAGCTTTTCGTTGTTGGCAGGATTCGAACCTGCGCGGGGAAACCCCAATGGATTTCTAGTCCATCGCCTTAACCACTCGGCCACAACAACGCAGGAAATGATCACAGTCAAAAAAAAAAAAAAAAAAAAAAAAAAAAAAACAACAACAAAAAAACAAAACAACAAAACCCCTTAGAAACAATATGTCAATGTGGCTTGCGCCACATTCCCCAATTTAAGATGGATATGCCGTTGCTGGCAGGATTCGAACCTGCACGGGCGGACCCCAAAGGATTTCAATACTTATTTTCCTCACTGTGTAAGAAGGGAACAAGAGCAGTTGGAAAAAAAATCACTGGATGTAGGTCATAACCANGAAACCACGTGAAATGACCTCACAAAGTAACCTCACACGGTAATGTCACACCGAGCTGTCTGCACGCGGTAGTGTGGCCGAGTGGTCTAAGGCGCTGGATAGGCTCCAGTCTCTTCGGGGGCGTGGGTTCAAATCCCACCACTGCCAGCTGGCTCTCTGATACCAAACCCAAGGTAGGCTTTGCAGCATTCTGCCCTGAGTTGGCTTTTCAGCAGCCGCCCTGGATAAGCTCCATCGAGACACTGTCTCAAACATTGGAATTGACTCTCCCTGTCGACCTGTGTTAGAATACACTGTCTTTATGCATAATAGAAAGCTTTTCGTTGTTGGCAGGATTCGAACCTGCGCGGGGAAACCCCAATGGATTTCTAGTCCATCGCCTTAACCACTCGGCCACAACAACGCAGGAAATGATCACAGTCAAAAAAAAAAAAAACAACAACAAAAAAAAACCAAAACAACAAAACCCTTAGAAACAATATGTCAATGTGGCTTGTGCCACATTCCCCAATTTAAGATGGATATGCCGTTGCTGGCAGGATTCGAACCTGCACGGGCGGACCCCAAAGGATTTCAATACTTATTTTCCTCACTGTGTAAGAAGGGAACAAGAGCAGTTGGAAAAAAAATCACTGGATGTAGGTCATAACAAACCATAGAACTAGGAATGAAGTCTTCTAGCATGACAAGAAACGTCTCACTTGTTTCTTAAATGATTACAAACATGAAACATTCATAAAGCCAAACTTTTATGATACAAGAACAGACCACAGCTACTTTTCAAAGTAACCCAAATTGTATTTATAAGTTGAATGGTTGCAAAGCAAGTGGCCCTAAACCAGACCTAAATAATGAGTGGATAAAAGCAAACTTCAGGCATGTTAGCATGGTTAGCTCAGACGGTAGAACGCCCGACTTTAAGCAACAAAATTGGGTATCAGTGATTGCTTTGAGACTTTATTCAAAGAACCATGCCTTACACAATGATTTTAGAAACCCATGCCGAAATAGCTCAGTTGGGAGAGCGTTAGACTGAAGATCTAAAGGACCCTGGTTCAATCCCGGGTTTCGGCAGACATGGTGTTTGCTGTCCTTGGGCTGCATCTTGCCGGTAAGATTTACACAACTGCGGTGCCCCTTTAATCTGAAGGTCCATGGTACAAGTCCCTGTTCAGGCGATTCTAGATTTACACAAACAAGACTATGAAAGAAAGAGAGCCTGGGTAGCTCAGTCGGTAGAACATCAGACTTTTAACCTGGGAGTCCAGGGTTGAAGTCCCTGTTCAACTTACTCTATATTTACAGTGAGTAAAATAAGTATTTGAACACCCTGCTATTTTGCAAGTTCTTCCACTTAGAAATCATGAAGGGGTCTGAAATTTTCATCGTAAGTGCATGTCCACTGTGAGAAACATAATCTAAAAAGAACAATCCAGAAATCACATTGTATGCTTTTTTTTAACTATTTATTTGTATGATGCAGCTGCAAATAAGTATTTAAACACCTGTCTATCAGCTTAGAATTCTGACCCTCAAAGACCTATTAGTCTGCCTTTAAAAAGTCCATCTCCACTCCATTTGTTATCCTAAACCAGATGCTCCTGCTTGAGGTCGATAGCTGCAAAAAGACACCTGTCCACCCCATACAATCAGTAAGACTCCAACTACTAACATGGCCAAGACCAAAGAGCTGTCCAAAGACACCAGAGACAAAATTGTACACCTCCACAAGGCTGGAAAGGGCTACGGGGAAATTGCCAAGCAGCTTGGTGAAAAAAAGGTCCACTGTTGGAGCAATCATTAGAAAATGGAAGAAGCTAAACATGACTGCCAATCTCCCTCGGACTGGGCTCCATGCAAGATCTCACCTCGTGGGGTCTCAGTGATCCTAAGGAAGGTGAGGAATCAACCCAGAACTACACGGGAGGAGCTGGTCAATGACCTGAAAAGAGCTGGGACCACCGTTTCCAAGGTTACTGTTGGTAATACACTAAGACGTCATGGTTTGAAAACATGCATGGCACGGAAGGTTCCCCTGCTTAAACCAGCACACGTCAAGGCCCGTCTTAAGTTTGCCAGTGACCATTTGGATGATCCAGAGGAGTCATGTGGTCAGATGAGACCAAAATAGAACTTTTTGGTCATAATTCCACTAACCGTGTTTGGAGGAAGAAGAATGACGAGTACCATCCCAAGAACACCATCCCTACTGTGAAGCACGGCGGTAGTAGCATCATGTTTTGGGGGTGTTTTGGGACAGGGCGACTGCACTGTATTAAGGAGAGGATGACCGGGGCCATGATTTTGGGGAACAACCTCCTTCCCCCAGTTAGAGCATTGAAGATGGGTTGAGGCTGGGTCTTCCAGCATGACAATGACTCGAAGCACACAGCCAGGATAACCAAGGAGTACACAACTGCGTCTACCTTTTAATCTGAAGGTCTGTGGTTCAAGTCCCTGTTCAAGCGATTCTATATTACCAAGAACAAGACTTCAAAAGCAAAAGAGCCTGGGTAGCTCAGTCGGTAGAGCATCAGACTTTTAATCTGAGGGTCCAGGGTTCAAGTCCCTGTTCAGGCGATTCTATATTTATAACAAGTGAACAAGAACAGTTGGAAATATTCACTGGATGTAGATAATAACAAACCATGGAGCTAGGAATGAAGTCTTCTAGCATGACAATATACTTCTCAATTGCTTCGTAAATCATTACGAACATTGATAAAGCCAGACTTTTCTGATACATGAACAGACTACTGCTACTTTTCAAAGAAACCCAGGTCACCATGATTCACAACCAAAGATTGCGATGGCCGGGAATCGAACCCGGGTCAACTGCTTGGAAGGCAGCTATGCTAGCCACTATACCACCATCGCGAGTTGAACAGCTTGTCACACAGTGGCATCACGTTCCATTCACGCTGACACCACAGTCTCCTCAAAGGGCCTCAAAGGCTGCTATGCTATCCACTATGCCACCATCACAAGGTGGAGGTGACATCACACAGTGACATCACAGTGTCCTCTCATAGTGGTATCGCAAGTCAGTGAAATGATATGGTGACTCCCTACAGACAAAAGCATATCAAAATCACAGATAGCTAGCAGTAGTAAGACAGAGAATGACTGAGTGCATATAAGCCACTACTGTTGATCCCAAAAGCTAGGAATTCCCATACCGGGAGTTGAACCCGGGCCGCCTGGGTGAGAACCAGGAATCCTAACCGCTAGACCATATGGGAAATTCTGGCTTTGACCTATTGGTCTCTTTACTAACAAAGTACAGAGACGATGCGTACTATGTTGAGGGGAACTGTGGCGCTCATCTCTGTTTCGACTGTCCCAAGCAAATAATTAGAGAACACCGTTTGGGTTTTGTCACTAGTTGCTTTCATATGTTTAGCAGCAAATCCTATGAAAAAGTCAACAAGCAAAGCATATAGCCAGTATCACGGTAACCTCCCAGAAACCACGTGAAATGACCTCACAAAGTAACCTCACACGGTAATGTCACACCGAGCTGTCTTGCACGCGGTAGTGTGGCCGAGTGGTCTAAGGCGCTGGATTAAGGCTCCAGTCTCTTCGGGGGCGTGGGTTCAAATCCCACCACTGCCAGCTGGCTCTCTGATACCAAACCAAGGTAGGCTTTGCAGCATTCTGCCCTGATGTTGGCTTTTCAGCAGCCGCCCTGGATAAGCTCCATCGAGACACTGTCTCAAACATTGGAATTGACTTTCCCTGTCGACCTGTGTTAGAATACACTGTCTTTATGCATAATAGAAAGCTTTTCGTTGTTGGCAGGATTCGAACCTGCGCGGGGAAACCCCAATGGATTTCTAGTCCATCGCCTTAACCACTCGGCCACAACAACGCAGGAAATGATCACAGTCAAAAAAAAAAAAACAACAACAAAAAAACAAAACAACAAAACCCCTTAGAAACAATATGTCAATGTGGCTTGTGCCACATTCCCCAATTTAAGATGGATATGCCGTTGCTGGCAGGATTCGAACCTGCACGGGCGGACCCCAAAGGATTTCAATACTTATTTTCCTCACTGTGTAAGAAGGGAACAAGAGCAGTTGGAAAAAAAATCACTGGATGTAGGTCATAACAAACCATAGAACTAGGAATGAAGTCTTCTAGCATGACAAGAAACGTCTCACTTGTTTCTTAAATGATTACAAACATGAAACATTCATAAAGCCAAACTTTTATGATACAAGAACAGACCACAGCTACTTTTCAAAGTAACCCAAATTGTATTTATAAGTTGAATGGTTGCAAAGCAAGTGGCCCTAAACCAGACCTAAATAATGAGTGGATAAAAGCAAACTTCAGGCATGTTAGCATGGTTAGCTCAGACGGTAGAACGCCCGACTTTAAGCAACAAAATTGGGTATCAGTGATTGCTTTGAGACTTTATTCAAAGAACCATGCCTTACACAATGATTTTAGAAACCCATGCCGAAATAGCT